AAGTGTCCTCAAAATCCGATGACGCTCTCTTTAAAAAAGTTCGGACTTAGCGAGTTTCCGTACTTGTGTTAAAAAACAACAACAACAATACAAGCGAAGCTAACAAACTGTGCTTTTCCTAGTCTTCTTCTGGAGAAACGAAAGACAGCTTCAAAACAAAGACTGCAGCGCCATCGGAAGCAATGCCCGGACTTCCGCGGAACACTTTTTTGCCGAGTGAACTACCTTGTGAATAATCTTTGCCAAAACCATCCAGTGATTTCTTCCTTTTTTTCGTTTTTCTGCACTTTGGACCAGCATAATATCAATTTGAGATATGACTACATTAGATTTTTTGTGACGTCGTGTTGCAACTCACCACTCCTCTAAATAATAGCCATTTTTGGCATATTCGCTGTACAATCATGGTCCAAGGACAGAAAGAAAATCCTTCTGCCATTTCTAAGCAAGACGTTAAAATTGTTGGTTTTTGTAAACAATTTTTCTTATACTACACGAGCACACCCCAACCACTTTGTCAATTGACTCATCTGGAAAAAATGTTTCCGTGACACCCCCAAAGTCCCGATTCGGCTCAAAGCTATGGAATTTGAGTTGTAGGCATTTTTAGCTTCCTCAGCCTCTCCTACAACTATTTCATAGCATTAGAACCCCCCAAAACCTGATTTCTTCCTATACTGAGCATGTTTGTCACCACCATTTCCTCATAAAAAGCCAATATTTTAAATTCTTTATCGGCTGTTTTCTCAAAACGCGATTTTTTTCCATACTTTTTTTAAATAACTCCCTCATTTTTCATCTAAATTTCACAGAATGAAGAGCAGATGTCATACTAAAAATTTCTTTGTTGAATTTTTAAAAATATTATAGAATAGATTTTTGTTGGTGGTGTCTGGAGTGAGGATTTTCACGGATTTGTTACCTCAGAAAAAAAACTCATTAAAAAATTCTAATTCCCTTAGGAAATAAACAACAGACAAATTTTTAGATCGAATGCTTTTTAACACGTATGCAAAAGAACCCCCCCCCCAAAAAAAAAGCAAAAACAAACAAAAAACAAACAATTAATTTCCATGAGCAATAAGTGCGGTATTCATTACGTAAGACATGTCAACAAAATCCAATAGGGCCGCCGTATCCGTGGAAAGGAAACTTTTTTCCTCAAATTTGATTGTGGATTTTAAGACTCCTTACTATGCTTGTTGTATGTGTGAAATATGGTAACATTTGGTCAGCTAATAAACGAGATAGCCTTCAGGTGGAGCCACTCCCCCCCCCCCCTTAATTCTATGAAAATAGTACGGAGTTATTTTTGTCACGGAGACTGCAACCGTTGCAAGGAGTTGGCAATCAAATCGTATCAATATCGGTAACAAGTGCGCGGCTATGACAGTGTGCTACTTTAATACTTCTTTTTGACCGTGTGCGGCTCTGATGCTTTTCCCTGTCGCATATTGCGGTTACTGTGTCTAAATCTATCGAACTCTAGATCTCTCATTATCAGCTTCTCCAGATCTAAACTGTAAATTACTGCACTCCGCTTCACGCTGTATACATTGAATCGCTTGACACGTGAACACAAAAAAACCCCCACGCGTTTGTCTTTGCATGCTACGTTCGAATTCGTTCAAATTGTGCAACGGTGGTAGCTTTGGCCTCTCCATGGAGGAAAATTTGGATGCCCCCGAAATAATTTGAACAAATTCGACCGGATTCGATTAGCAGTATGCACTGGGTATAAGAACACAAAACTTCATTAAGTGACGTCAGGAACATAATCTGCAAACTTAGGATTGTGAGCTCAACACGTCTACCCAGCTGGAACGACTTTAAGACAAGAGTCATTTGTAAAGGAGGCAGAAAGTGACAGCTGTTGTGCATAAACCACATCACATCTTGTATGATATCACGAAAACATTGCAGAAAGAAATTCAGGTAGAACAAAACTAGGCCCTAAAATGTAGGTAGAATCTCTACAATTAGTGGTGAAAAACAACATTCTGTATTTTTGTTATCCATTTTTTTCGAAATACCCAGACATGCCTCACCTTGATAAATAGCTCCCCATCCTGTAACAATGCCCTTTTCGCCATCATTTACGTCTCTTGAAGGAAGACAAATGGGCCAGATTTTATTGCTCTGTTCAAGTGGGGTTGCCACTTGTAAAACTGCGATGTCATAGTCGAAAGTCCGACTGTTGTATTCCCTGAAACAAGAAACACCAGTAGGTAAAGTCAGGCTTGAGCATTTAATGACAATAGTAATATTTATTGTATACGGCGTCCCCTCTAGACACTTTACATTGTTCAGGGCGAAAACAAAACAGATCATTACATAATGCAAACAACGTACAGTTAGATAAATATATTTAAAAGGACGCACACCGTTCCCATTCTACTTCTGTCTTAACCCTTTTTGTCTCTATCTGTCTATTTCTCTCTCTCTCTCTCTCTCTCTCTCTCTCTCTCTCTCTTTCTCTCTCTCTCTCTCTCTCTCTC